GTCACTCAGTATGGGACACCAATGTTCGTCCCATGCTCGATTCAAGACTCGGTCAATCTTGTTACAATATTCAATTCCTTTATTGCCGTGTGCACTGTACAATATTAAATATAAATATTTATAAATTATTTAATATTAAAATATTTCTTCTGATAATTTTATAAGTTAAATTATATATTATTTTTTTTCTCGCACAGTGTCAAATTATTATTTTCAAAGTTCAAGAGTTTCGTTTATCTGTAAAATTTTCAGTGAAAAAAATGTTCATTAGGTAGTAGTAAATATTTATGCCTAGTAGTTTTACACTAGGATTAACTGTTTACTGAATATTATCAAAAATATATTTTTCGTCAAACGCGCGCGACTAAACACAAATAACCTTGAGACTTTAGGGTCGTTCCAGAATGAGCTAAAACGCAACGAAGACGCGACGCGTCCCAATGCTAATCAAATGGAGACGCGTCGCGTCTTCGTTGCGTTTTGGCTCATTCTGGAAAGACCCCTAACAGCGCGACGTTGCGATTGTCGTGCTCCCACCATCCCATCTACTCAATACACTCCCCGCCTGTGACGTCATGAGGGGAAAGCATTGAGTAGATGGGATGGTGGGAGCACGAAAATCGCAACGTCGCGCTGTAAAGTCTCAAGGTTATTTGTGTTTAGTCGCGCGCGTTTGACGAAAAATATATTTTTGATAATATTCAGTAAACAGTTAAATCTAGTGTAAAACTACTATAGGCATAAATATTTATTACTACCTAATCAGCATTTTTTTCACTGAAAATTTTTTAGATAAACGAAACTCTTGAACTTTGAAATAATAATTTGACTCTGTGCAAGAAAAAAAATAATATATAATAATTTAACTTTATTGATATGAATCTTATGTAATTAATATAAATATTATACACTAAATAAATATTAATATTTATTTACCAATTGATATCTTAATAACAATAATAATAATACTTATTATATTATTTAATAATAATTAATAATAATAATTTTTAAATAGTATAAAAAATTACTAAAAATTATCAGAAATAATATTTTAATATTAAATAATTTATAAGTATTTATATCTAATATTGTTAAGTGTACACGGTAATAAATAAACTATCAAGATTGATTCAAGCTTGAATAAAGACTGGATGTTGAAGCTCCACTCACGAAGATTGACCGAGTGTTAAATCGAGCATGGGACGAACATTGGTGTCCCATGCTGAACCAATATTGAGTGACAATGATATAAAGACTGCTTCAACTCTGGGTTACCCACGCTGGGCGTTCAAGACTCAGTCAAGTTTCAACCCATCGTCAGCACTGGTCTTTCGCGCCTGGGAAGGTATATAAATGCAAAGTAAAATATAAATATGTTTAATAAAATAATTAATTATTTTTTTTAATTATATTTACTTTTTCTCTTTTATTGGATAATAAGAATTTGATTAAGAATTTCAAATAATTATGATACACAGTGTAAATCTAATATTATTATCCTAGTCAATTTGACTATTTTTTCCTGATTGCATCTACTAATTTTCCTGGTCACTTTAACTATGCTTGAATTTTATTACTTTGACTAGGATTCTATAGTTGGCTCCTCTCGTAACTAGGAAACCTAGTCAATTCCTGGTATACGGGTCCTAGGCATTTTTTTCGATGTAAAGAATTTATATTTTAAGGCTGATGCTAACAATAGATTTCTTTTGTTCTTCTGATGAATATTATTACACTCACAAAACAGTCTATTTAAATAAAAAGGAATCTTTTTACTATAAGCGGATTTTCCTTTTAATATTTGTCTAAGAGGAATTCCTTTTCTATTAAAAGGAAATTCCTTTATATTATATCCTTTAATTATTATATAAATGATTTTTGTTTACTATTAAAAAGAATCATTTTATCAGTAGTTTTATTTATTTTTATTATCTGTGATTCATTAATTTATATTTATTTAATTGTAATAATAATTTTTTTATTTGGGACTCAAATTTATGAAATATTTGAAATTAAATTAAATTTAAAATAAAATAATAATAGCATAAGTCTGCAAATAATAAATTGATATAGGCAAATAAAATATATAAAAAGAAGAACTAAATTTATTTTATCATAATTTCCATAATATATAACCTTTTATCAATTTTAAAAATTTCAAAAAGTTATGAATTAGATACTACATTTTTCAATTAATTAAATTACAGTTTTCGAATACATAAATAATTATTCTAATTATCCAAAATTGACAATATTTTATTTAAATTTTGTATTTTGTTTATTTTATTAAAATAATAATTTAATTTTTATTATTATTATTAATCATTAAATTTATTTGTGCAGATTACCTTTGCATTATATAAAGAGTAAATAAACTTTTTTTATTTTAATATTTTAATTTGTTTACAAACGTCAAATCACGTGAAACTATCCTTTTTACATAAAAGGATTTTATTTAAAAATCAAAAGAAATCAGAACGTTTTTCTTTTTTCCAATAAACACTTCTAACCTTATTATATTCGAAAAATCCCTTTTACAATAAAACTATTTCTGCTAACGATTAAAGGACATAATTTAAAAGGAAATTAGTTTTATGTTGAATAGATCATTTTTGTGAGTGTACAATAAAAATATTTTACTTTTATTTATACCTATTCTTATATTATGTTCAACACACAATAATAAGGACATAAAATGCTATTGTGGACTTGCAACCTTAAAAAGCTGTTTATATTATTTTGTTGTTTCTTAAATTTAAATATATAAATAAATGAAAAGAATACAACGTAAAGTTTTTGCTTTTTGATTAAATAGCGCCTCAGACGGTCTTCGGCCGTCTTCGTTGCTTCTGTTCCATGTTTATTTTTGTTCAATTTTTAAAATTTCTAATGTTAATTTTTTCAATTTATGTTTTTTAAATAGAATTCCATTTTATTAAAAATATTTTTTTTAAGTATAAAATTTTCTATTAATTTAATTATATTTTTAATTTGAAATTATATGTTATTTATTATATGTGGTCGTCCACATGAAAAGGGCCCATATTGTCGGTTCTAGTTTTCGAGATAATCGCAATTTAGTAATTTTGGAGCAAAATCTTAATTTTTTTTTATTTTTTATTATCAATCTACATGTTTTGACAAGTCAAATCATGCGGTTTTCATTAATTTATCGATAATTTAACTGTTTGATTTCATTGGTTCTTTAGAAAAATGAGGTTTTGACGTTCTAAACTTTGAAATTCCGTAATTCAACGAATTTTTAATCAAAAAAGTTCTAAGACCACTCAAAATTTTCCAAATTTTGCCAGAAATACGCCCATATAGATATATCCCGAGTCGAACTTTTAGACCTGCTTACCTCCTGGTAAGTATAATTTAACCCTAACCTGCACCTAACAAACCCTTGGTGTTTTTTTCCTCCTGCGTAAGTTCTATTTAACTCTGACAACTCCTTTTTAACCCCTTCACTGTCACTGGGCTCTATAGAGCCATAAAAAAGTCGTGCCATGTATGTCAGTGGGCTCTATAGGGCCATCGAAAAAAAAGACATTTAAAAGTTAACGAATCTGGCTAAAAATCCTTGCTCGGTGGTTTTCGGGGTCGCTGAATCCAAATCCGTTGTCGAAAATTCAAAATGGCGGCTTTAAAATGGCGCCAAAAAAAATTTTTAAGTTAACGAATCTGTTTGAAAATGCCTAAAAATGCCTACTCGGGGGTTTTCGAGGTCGCTGATTCCAAATCTGTGGTCAAAAATTCAAAATTTAAAATGGCAGCTTTAAAAAAGCCAAAAAAAAAATTTTTAAGTTAACGAATCTGTTTGAAAATGCCTAAAAATGCCTACTCGGGGGTTTTCGAGGTCGCTGATTCCAAATCCGTGGTCAAAAATTCAAAATTTAAAATGGCAGCTTTAAAAAAGCGACAAAAAAAATTTTTAAGTTAACGAATTCGTTAACCTTTTAATTTTTTTTTGGTCGATATTTTGAAGCCGCCATTTTGAATTTTGACTTTTCGACCACGGATTTTAAATCAGTGACCTCAAAAACATATAATATGCCAATATCAAGTTTTTAAAAAAAAAAATTTTTTTGAACACTTATGGCACAAAAACTTTATTTTCACTCGACTGTGAAGGAGTTAAGTCCTAATTGAACCTTAAACCCTGTATTGCTTCTACCACATTCTTACGCAATAGGAAATGTTACGCGCGGTACAAGATATTCAACTTATTATTGTTTTGCAAATTACAAAATTTTTTATTTTGAAAATTTCACGAAAGAATTCAATTATTTTCTAAAATTTTAATAAATCCTTCGAAAAAATTCAATTATTTTTATAAATAGTAAAATTCTTCCGAAGAATTCAATTAATTTTATAAATAGTAAAATTCCTTGCAGGAATTCAATTATTTTCAAAACAATTTTAATTGAATTCCTTAGATGAATTCAAATATTTTAAAATATTTTCATAAATTGCAATTATTTTCTTAAACTTTAATAAATTCTTCGAAATAATTCAACTATTTTTATAAATACTAAAACTCTTTGCAAGAATTAAATAATTATTAACCCAATTAAAATAAAATTAAACGAAAGAATTTAATTATTTTCAAAAATTCCCATAAAATTTAGTTTCAACAAGAATTTAAAATTTTTGAAAAACAATTTAATTATTCTCAAAATATTTTAAAAAAATTCTATATAAGAATTAAATTACTAGCTCAATACAATTTTTGAATATATTCGTCAAAAGAATTGAAATAATTCTATTATTTTCGAAAAGTAATTAAAATTCTTATGATGAATTCAATTATTTTGAATATACTTAATTTTAATAAAATTCTTTAAAGAAATTCAATTATTTTTGAAACAACTTTAATTGAATTTTTCGATAAAATTTCATGATTTTTAAATATTTCTATAAGGAGATTAGAGGAAAAGGTAGAAGAGCTAGGATGCATACCACATAACCAAACTGGCTTCAGAAAGGAAATGGGAACGATGGACAATATTTACGTCCTGAATTATTTAGTTAATAGGAATTTGGGGAAAAGTAATGGAAAGTTGGTGGCTTCATTTGTGGATCTAAAAGCGGCATTTCCATCAGTAAACAGGGGAATTTTATGGAGGGTTGTAAGGGAGAGGGGTATAGAGGATGGGTTGGTGGAGAGGATAAAGGAGCTATACGAGGACACCAAAGAAAGGGTAAAAATTGGGGAAAGTTTGGGACGGGAATTTTGGTTGGGTAGAGGGCTAAGGCAGGGCTGCCCCCTGAGTCCAATATTGTTCAACATGTTGATTGCGGATCTGGAAGAAAGAATGAGTAAGAGAGGGAAGGGTGGTGTGATTTTAAGGAATGGAAGAATATATACTCTAGCATATGCGGATGATGTGGTTTTGATGGCTGAGAATGAAAGTGGAATGAAATTATTAATGAAAGAGTTTGAGAAATATGTGAGAGAGAAAGATTTAAGTGTGAATGTAGAGAAAACGAAAGTGGTAAGATTCAGAAAAAAGAATGATAAGGAAAAAATAGAATGGAGGATGAATGGGAAGAATGTGGAAGAGGTGAATGAGTTTTGTTATTTAGGGTATTGGTTTATGTGCAATGGAAGGCAGGATCTGAATGTGGCTATGAGAGTAGAAAAGGGGGGCAAAGCTATGGGTCAGGTATGGGGAATTGGAAAAAGAAGGTTTCAGGATGATTGGAAGAAAAGAGTGTGGTTGTTTGATGCGTTGGTATGGTCGATAATAAGTTATGGAGTGGAGGTATGGGGATGGAGTGAAATAGGAAAATTGGAAAGTATGCATGAGAAATTCTTGAGATGGACGATGGGGGTAAGCTGGAATTGCCCGGGGTATATGGTGAGGGAAGAATTGGGTAGGGAGAAGATGGTCACGAAACAGAGAAGGAGAGCGAGGAATTATGAGGAAAAACTGGAGCAAGGAAGGGGAAGTAAAATAGCAGGGATGTGTTGGAGACTAATTAAGGAAGGAGAGGGAAGGTGTAAAAGGTGGGAAAAGGAAAGAAAGAAAGCATTAAGGGAAGGGGGGAAAAGTAGAGAAAAAGGGAAAGAAATAATAGAGATTTGGGGTAAATGTGATAGGGAGGAAAGATGGAAAAAGGTAATGGAGTCCAGGTACAACAGATGGTACAAAATGATAAAAGGAGAGGGATTGCCGAAATATTTGGGGAGGAAGATGAAGTATGAAAAGTGGAGTAGGGTGTGTAGGTTTAGAATGGGGGAAGGTATGAGAGAATGTAAGTACTGGATGGAAGAGGATGAAAGAAAATGCAGAATATGTGAGTATGAAAGAAAGGATTGGGAGCATGTTTTGGAAAGGTGTTGTAGTGGACGAATGGAGGAAGGGCAAAGCGTGACTGAAAGAGTGATGTGGATATTGGATGAGAATGGGCAGGGTGAAAGATGGATGAATGATTTAGAGGAAGTGAGAAGAAAAAGGAAAGAGGGATTAATTTAGTGTCGTGACGTAGGGAGGGATCATTAAGTCATATGACGATGCCAGAAAGGGCATAAGAGAACTGGAAACGGAAGCCCTGGCACTGGTTAAAGAAGCGCAATTAGTTTTTAGTTTGTTTTTAGATTGTAGGAGTAGGTAGTTTTAAGTTAGGTATTATAAGTTGCGGTAGATTTTAAGAAAAATGTATAATAGGTTAAGTTTTTATGTATGGTTGGTAATCTCGAACCCTGTATAATGCAGGGAGAGTAAATAAATATAAATTAATTAAATATTTCTATAAAATTCTTCATAAACAATTTAATTATTTCTTAAAATTTTAATAAATTCTTCGCAAGAAATTACTTATTTTCAATACAATTTTAATAAAATTCTTCTTCATAAAATTCATTTGCTTTCGAAATTTTCAATTAAAATTATTAAAGAAACTCCATTAGTTTAAAAAAAAATTCAAAGAAATTTTTCAAAAAAATTTAATTAGGATTTTTAAAAATATTAATAAAATTCTTTGCGAGAATTTAGTTATTTTTCTAAATAAAGAAATTCTTTGAAGGAATATTCTATTATTATCAAATTTTTTGATAAAATTCTTTGCAACAATTCGAAGATTTTCAATACATTAATTTTAAAATTGAAAATATTTGAAAAGAAAAATTAAAAAAAGATTAAGAAACCAAAATGTAAACAACAATTAACTTCAAACTGCGAATAGGTTACCGAAACATGTACTTTTTTATTATTAATTTATAAATATTATTTTTAACTGAAATGTTTTGACATTTTTTTTAAATAATAAAAATATTAATTTATGAATGTTTAAAGGTTATTATTATTAAACAATTTATTTATTTGCTGTAGTGTATTAGTGTCAATTAATGCTTAATTAAATCACTCAACAAGTCACTGAAAATAGAGCGTCTGTGTTCAGTTAGGTTCCGTAGCATAGTGGTTAGGGCGTTAGTTTCGTAGTCCGTAGTTCGTAGGTCGTAGGTTCAAGTCTCGCGTGCGTTAGATTTTATTTATTTCGTAGGTTTGCGTTTATTCCGATTTTTCTGTATTGTATAGGTATAAGTATGCAATTTAATGATTATATACACCGTTAAATAATTTAATTAACAAATATTAAATTAAAATTTTTTTATATATATAAATGGATATGCATTAATCTCCACATATATACTAACATTATTTATGAATTCGCTATTGGTCACGATTAAATTAAAAAAAAAAAGTAAAAATCATTAAATAATAATGCTATTTATTACTAATTAAAGTTATTATAAAAATTAGTTAAAAATGATCTCAAATATGCTATGAGCAGTTTTTCCATGGTTTTTGGAGAGGAAAGAATTCTGTAAGTAAGGGTCAAGCAGTATTTAATAAGGTTCTAGGAACGCCTGCTTTCCCCCTTTTACCATCTAAATTTGTCGCTAACCAGGGGTTTGCAGGAGGTAATCAGAGTTAACTTGCAATGCAAATAAACTCTGCTTTCATCCTATTACATCCTTACAAACCCTCAGTTTTAAGGAGGTAAGCAGGTCTAAAAGTTCGACTCGGGATTACTCCAATAGTGCCAAAATGGGCCCTTTTCATATGGACGTCCACATATTATTTATTTAGTAGTAAAATAATAATTTCAATGTTATTACATTTAGTATCATCTTTGGTAACTTAACAACAATAATAATTTTTACTTTATTTGTTTAAATGTTAATAATTTTTTTTAACTTATACATATTTTTTTTTTTTTGTATTTTATAATTATAATTATAATATTTCTTTCAATCCAAAGCAAATTAATGTAAATGACAATAATATACTTTATGTTTTAAGGCATATGCTCAAAATAGGTTTCTTTTGTTTTTCTGCTATAATGGTTGGAGGACTAAAGTTCCAAAACAGAAGTTCCAATGAAAAAAAGTTCAAAAGATTTTAATTTCCAAAGACTGAAAGTTCCAAAAGTTCTTTTTTTCAAAACTTTTTTTTTCCAACGACCACAATATTAGTCATAATATTGTCTTTTAACTTTCTCTCCCTATTTATATTTGTCTCTTTCATACATTTTTTGAATCATTAATGTTTTTTAAAATTTTTGTACTTTTTACATATATGAGGAGTAAGCTTTTAAAATCTGATAAACCCCTTTTATCATGCCACCCTTCAAATAGTAAATCTTTTTATAAAAAAGCTATAAAGTAACACTTTATAAATAAAACAGAAATTAATTTTTTAATTTCAAACATGAGAAAAATTATTTCTTCTAATACTGAATGCTTAGGTAAAATTCTCCGACCAAGCTGTTTCCTTACATAGCACACGATTTGATAAAAATGTTATTTAGATATTTCATTTTCCGACTATTTCCTGGTTTTTCCCAGTTAACCGGGAAGTAGTAGACACCCTGAATAAATTATTCATTATTGAATATTTTTTTCTATTTAAAAAGTTTTGTTTGTAATTAAAGTCTATTGTAATAAGGGAATTTAAAGGTTTTCATCAAGGTTAGGCTGAAATATTTTTTAAATTGAAAAATCTTTGGTAATAATTTTTTTTTTAAATTGAACATTGATAAATCGATTTCTAACGAATGCTTTGAATGTGTTTATCTCATTTGCTCCTCATTACATTTAAAATTATATTGGAACTTTCGTGCTTTGGCACTATTTTTGTTGGAACTTTTGTCTTTTGATTCATTTTTATTTTGGAACTTTCGGATTGGAACATTTGTTTTGGAAATTTTTGTGTAGAACTTTTGATCTACAATCATTATAATAAGATAATTAGATTAGATTAGTTTTAGATTTTAGTTTTAGATTTCTTTGTATTCTTATATTATAATACTTTAAATTTTCATTTTAAAATATTATTAACTATTTAAATTTTTATTTTTAAACTTCTTTTTATTTTTAAATTAACTATTTTTAACGAAATCACTCAGCACTAAAAATATTTTTGAACGAAAGCTATAGTTTATACAAAATATACAAACAAAAAATAATCAAAAAACTACCGTGTGTCTCCTTATGTATTTTTTTAGTAATGATATAAAAAATACATCTTTCCACAAATAATTGTTTTATTTATTATTGTTTAGTATGTTTTAATATGTTTTTTTTGTTTTAATATAATTTTAAGCTACCAAAACAACAGAAATTCTTTTTGTTTGTGTGGTGTTCTTATGCCATGTCTTTTTTAAGAAAGGATAATTCTCATACTTAATTACTATTCATCATAATTAATTAAAAATTATTATCATATTCAACAATTAGGTTAGGTTTCTTTTAGTGTCCATGACAGCTCCAAACTCAACAATACCAATTCAAATTCGCGCGCCATATGTCGGCCCCGACCTAGCTTTAATATATATACACACAATTTGACAGCTAAAGGCCAACGCAGAATAGATCTGTAACCGGAACCGCAATCGTAAGCGTAACCGTAAGAATGAGTTAAAGAAGGATAGGTATATTGTTTATCCTTCTCTAACTCATTCTTACGCTTACGGTTACGATTGCGGTTCCGGTTACAGATCTATTCTGCGTTGGCCTTAACCTATTTTGTGTTTCTAAAAATGTATTATATATTTTTTTTTAAATAAATTAAAACTTCTAATAGTTAACAATCATGATGTCATGTCAATTATGATTATATATTAAATATTGTTATCACTTATATACACTGAGAAAAATTGCGTTTAACCGAGTGGTAGAAATAGCTCGGTTAAAAAAAAGTATTTAAAAATAAATAAGATATGGTTAAAAGAAACTAAGTTATACTGATTATCACAACCGGGCTGAGATGGTTAAAACACATCTGTTAAAAATAATCCTCCAAAGGATTATCTTAACCAATCTGAAATGTGCATAATGGAAACAAACTTTCGTGGTTGTTGTTACCTATCTGTTTTTTGAATATAAACTATTACTATGCGATTAATATTAACTGAGTTTCATGTAATTACGTTGAGTTGTGAGATTTTAACCGAGTAAACATATCTAGGCGACATATCGTCAGTCACAGTCAGTCAGTCACTTCGTTTCGTCTTTTCCGGAGAGTCGTGTTGTTACAAATTCTGGTTTCTACCGACGCGATACAAATTTTTATTGATTATGTTACAGCAGCCATCAAATATAGAATTCATCTACAATAGATACATAGAAATAAAAATAAAACGGAGAATATTTAACGCATTAAACCTTTCATCCCCGATGACATATTACACGATGCACGTTAAAGAGGTTAAAAGTATTTTATTCTATTTGAAAGAGATTTGTTTGATTATAAAAAAGAATTTTAATTTACAGAAAATTTTGGTTATCTGTAAATTAGAACATAATTTTTTAATCAAATAGATTTCTTTCCAATAAAAGAAAATAATTTTTATCAAGGGAATATTTTATTAATCAAAAAATATTTTAATCGAGTTGGGTGGTTTAAAATTAATTAATCGGTTTCTTTATTATAACAGAGCTAATTGACTACAATATTCAAGTTCATATTATTACTGTAGCCTTTTTAGGTGGCTACAGTAACCGAGTAAGTTAACTAACGTTTACGGAGCATTAATCATAAACTGTTAGTTACAGTAATAGAGAAAGAAGCTACCGTAACCGAGTAGTCTTAACTAGTTTCTACTGAAATTTTTAATCGTCTTTGATCGGTTACTGCAGACAATTCACATTGCAAGTGCTATATTAGCAGCATCGCTCGGTTGTTTTTTAACTAAAACTTGGTTATATTTAACCTTTTATTTTTCTCAGTGTATGTGTTTTGTGTTTGTGAATAAAAATGTATGTGTTGTGACAGGCATGCTTGTGTGTGTCTAGTGTTCTAAGTCGGTTATATTACCCAGAGAATATTACCGAGAACGAGAATATTACCGAGAATATAACCGACGATTAAATTCTCTGAGAATTTAAGAGAATGTGACATAACCTCACTTTTGTCGTTACACTGTGGTAAATTCGATTGTCCGACGTTGTGTTTTTATTTAGTAGTTATTT